TCGACGCTCAGTTCCAGCCCCTCCTTCTATAAGCACATCTGTCCATGCTATTTATGTAACACTGGGAATAAATCAAATCTTCTATAGCCTTAATGGCATTTCTTAACACATATACCTTGTCTCTCCAACTAAAAATGTAATTTCCCTGAGGTCAAAGACCCTGTTGTAAATGTATAGACCCCCAACATTAATCAGAGTACTTTGCACAAAGACACCCCACCCCCTCCTCCTGGAGTTACTAGTAATGGACTCTGCCTGTATGAACAGTGAGCGTTTACTGAGTAGTTACTATGCACCAAGGGCCATTCTAAGCACTTAACATCTAACACAGCCCTAATACTACTGTCCTCCCCACTTTGCAGGAAAGGAAAGAGAAGCAGAATGGGGCAGTAACCTGTCTTGAGGTTGTCCCGCTATGAGGCGGTAGAGAGGTGCTCTGACTCCAGGGCCTGGATTTACAGCAGGTGAATAATTTCCGCTTATGCACGTACTCAGCTCTCACTGCCCAGATGCCACAGATGTCCAAAAAAGTGCTGTCGGTTTTCTTGAATAACAAAAAGCTGAACAAGATATGTATCTAGTTTAGCAGTTCCAACAACTCGCAGTCCTTTATAGGATTAACCTAACAAGGAAGTATCGCATCAAGAATATTTTTCAAGAATGACCTTTTGTGGGGTACCTGGGTGGCTCAGTGGGTTAAAGCCTCTGCCTTCGGCTCAGGTCATGATCCCAGGGTTCTGGGATTGAGCCCTGCATCAAGCTCTCTGCTCAGCGGAGAGCCTGCTTCCCCCTCTCTCTCTGCCTGCCTCTCTGCCTACTTGTGATCTCTGTCTGTCAAATAAATAAAATAAAAATCCTTAAAAAAAAAAAAAAGAATGACCTTTTGTGATGTATCAAGTTGCCTAAAATGTTTTGGAACCATGGGGTGACCAAGTCAATTCTCTACAAACTGGGTTGCCTAAACATAAGGGACAGGTTTGTTCCAATGTATTCGCAGGGACAACAAAGTCCTTCTGAGAAGGCAAGCGTGGCTGAGTGTCCACGCTGTGACCTTACTGCTGGATGTCAAGGGCACACTGAACACTCACTACCTCCCAGTTCCTCATTGGTGAGATGAAGCCACTGATACCTGCCCGATAGAAAAGAGGGCATTGGGTGCAGGATATAAAATGCTCTCCCTGGCCTACTGTAAATTCTCACTAAATTCTGCCTTTCCATTTATCTTTTTCTTTTAAAAACTTTTATTTGAAAGAGAGTGAGAGAGAGCACCAGTCGGGGAGAGGGAGAAGCAGACCCACAGCTAAGCGGGGAGCCCATGCAGGACTTGATCCCAGGATTATGACCTGAGAGGATGGCACACACTTAACCTATTGCGCTACCCAGGCGCCCCTCCACTGGTCTTTGAGAGGGACCAAAATTGGCCCTACTTTGCAATTCTCTACCCTCCATGCACCTGCTATGACAGCAATAACCCTAGATCATACATGATTCTCTACCACCAAGGCTCAAAACCTTTCAATGCTCTGGACAATCCAAAGGATAAACGCCAGCATTCCTTACAATGCCCCCAGTCTCCTTCTGTTGCAGTGTTTTCCCCCAATTCTCTTCTCCTAAAATCTAAACCCAGCTCCAAAAGAGCCTCTTTCTCCCCTAATGGTCCTGATCATCGCTCCCTCCTCCGAACCCACAGGCAGACTGTGGACCCCTGGGATTTGTATGTCTACATAAGAGCAGATTTGTTGGATACAGTTCTAACTTCTCCACTAAAAGAGAAATTTCTAAAAGCTAAGTGTTCAGGGTCTTAATGTATCTGCCATAGGACATGATGCCTCACGCATGGCAATAGTAAGAGCTAACATTTAATGACATCTGACTCTACACCAGGCACTATTTTATTTATTTATTTATTTATTTTTAAAGATTTTATTTATTTATTTGACAGAGAGAGAGATCACAAATAGGCAGAGAGGCAGGCAGAGAGAGAGGGGGAAGCAGGCTCCCTGCCGAGCAGAGAGCCTGATGCGGGGCTCGATCTCAGGACCCTGAGATCATGACCTGAGGCGAAGGCAGAGGCTTCACCCACTGAGTCACCCAAGTGCCCCATATACCAGGCACTATTTTATTTTATTTATTTTTTAAGATGTTATTTATTTATTTGACAGACAGAGATCACAAGTAGGCAGAGAGGCAGGCAGAGAGAGAGGGAGAGAGGAGGAAGCAGGCTCCCCGCAGAGCAGAGAGCCCGATGTGGGGCTCGATCCCAGGACCTTGGGATCATGACCTGAGCCGAAGGCAGAGGCTTTAACCCACTGAGCCACCCAGGCGCCCCACCAGGCACTATATTAAAGGCCTCACATCCCCCTATAGCTAGATGCTATTATTCTCCCCCATTTTATAGATCAAGAAACTAAGATCCACAGAGGTAACCTGTCCAAGATTATACTGCTACGAAGTGACACAGCCTGTGCTCAAACCCATGCAATCTGGCTGCAAAACCACATTCTTAACCACGGTGCTAGAGTCACCATCCCATCAATCACATTAGCTAATTAATGTAAATGAGCTTTAAAAATTATGAAAGACGATAAGCCCCAATAAATCCAAAACAAATCCAAACAAAATCCAAACAAACAAAATCCAAAGAAATCCAAACAAAATCCAAAACAAATCCAACCAAAATAGGTCTCCACTACCTCTAAGGGAGGGAGGCAGTAGTGCATGAAATTTAGCATCAGACTGGAATCGAACACCAGCTCTTACCACTTTCTAGCTGAGTCACCCTGAGCAAGTCACATGATCTTTTTCAGCTTCAGCCTCTGTAGCCAACAGATTAAACTACCACTGTGTGGCATGGTTCATAAGAATTAAGTAAGCGGGGGCGCCTGGGTGGCTCAGTGGGTTGGGCCGCTGCCTTCGGCTCAGGTCATGATCTCAGGGTCCTGGGATCGAGCCCCGCATCGGACTCTCTGCTCGGCAAGGAGCCTGCTTCCTCCTCTCTCTCTGCCTGCCTCTCTGCCTGCTTGTGATCTCTGTCTGTCAAATAAATAAATTTAAAAAAATTATTAAATTAAAAAAAAAAAGAATTAAGTAAGGGGACGCGTGGGTGGCTCAGTTGGTTAAGCAGCTGCCTTTGGCTCAGGTCATGATCCCAGCGTCCTGGGATCGAGTCCCACATCGGGCTCCTTGCTCGTCAGGGAGCCTGCTTCTCCCTCTGTCTCTGCCTGCCATTCTGTCTGCCTGTGCTCGCTCTCTCTCCCTCTCTCTCTCTGACAAATAAATAAATAAAATCTTAAAAAAAAAAAAAAGAATTAAGTAAGATCAGGGGTGCCTGAGTGGCCCAGTTGGCTAAAAGTCTGCCTTTGGCTCAGGTCATGATCCCAGGGTCCTGGGTTTGAACCAGGCATCAGGCTCCCTCCTGAACCTGCTAAGCTCCCTTTTCCCCTTTCCCCCAGCCCCGCTTGTGCTCTCTTTCACTCACTCTCTAATAAATAAATAAAGTCTTGAGAAAAAGAAGAATCAAATGAGATGACACAGGTAGAGCCCAGAACAAGTCTGCCGCACAGTATGTGGTCAATGAAGGCTAACTCTAAAAGGAGAGTCAAACTGCAAAGCCCTGGGAATTTTCTTTACTAACCTGTTAAAATAACAAGTATAAAATAGTACTGACGGTGTCATAAAGGCTTATTTCTTTGCAGCAATAACCCAATATGACTTTAGTAATTTTCTTAATACCCCAAGCCCGTAAAACAATCAAATAACATTAACTACTCCTAATTAAACAAACAAGAGTTCTGCCTCTGGGCATAACACTCACTGAAGGAGCACTCTGAAGAGCCTTTAAAGCAAATATGAAAACGTTCACAACGAAGCAGAAGTCAAGATGACAACGAAGTGCCGCATATCCAAATGTGTGCGGGTTTTCTGGAAAGCATGCCCTAGGATGAAAAGCTGATAGTGGGAATGCTTAATGTGATGAGAAAACCCTGACGAAGTATCAAAGAATCTACAGTTTGGGCGAGTCCCCAGAGCAGAATTCGGTACAACAGGAGGAATGATAATCCTGGGAAGCAGCTTTCGGCTCAAGTTCAAGGCAGCGGGGCGGGAATGGGCACCCCTGAACCGCGCAGAGCTCACCCATGGGAGATGCTGGGGCTCCAGTCATGAGATAAAGGGCAGAGGGAATTCTTTAACTGGTTGGTAAGTCTGACCAACTCCGAGGTCCCTTCCTAACGTTGGAGATGGGCCGCACAAGACAGGGAAACGCTCTGCTCAGAAAGAGACCGTGAGGGCGCCTGGGTGGCTCAGTGGGTTAAGCCACTACCTTCGGCTCAGGTCATGATCCCAGGGTCCTGGGATCGAGTCCCGCATCGGGCTCTCTGCTCAGCAGGGAGCCTGCTTCCCTCTCTCTCTCTCTCTCTCTCTCTGCCTGCCTCTGTCTACTGTGATCTCTCTCTGTCAAATAAATAAATAAAATCTTAAAAAAAAAAAGAAATATTTAAAAAAAAAAAAAGGAGACCGTGACTGTATTTTAACCATCTTTTCAGTTAAAATTGGGAGTGGGGGTGAAATGTAATAATTGGGGAAACATGGCAATAGAGAGGTAACATCTCTGCAAAATGCCCCTAAAGATCCTAAACTCCGAGGCTCCCATGGCCCAGTGGCTCCGATTCCACTCATGGTGCGTAAAGAAGCTTCTAGAATAGCTCCCAGCCCCTTTCTCATCAGGGGCTACCGTCACCCCTCCTAAGAGAAGCGGATGCCGGCTCCACCAGAGGCCTGGAGGGAGATGGGAGGCCTGGATTGCGATCAGCCCCGGGTGAAGGGTCTGAGACCGATCCGGCGGAGAGGAGGCTCCGACCCGGGACGTGCAGCGGGCTCCCCGGTCCTTATATGAGAAGCCCCAGCTGCCAGTGCCAAGGTCGTCCCGGACTCCTAGGACGCCCGGCGCCAGCGCACTCACCAGCGCGCTTCCACGCAGCAGCCGAGCCGCCGCTTGCTCCATGGGTGACGCAGACCGAGTAGCTGTGCCAAGCCCAACAAGTCGCAGCTCAGTGCCTCCCCGCCCAGCGCCAGCGCTTTGGGGCGGAGCCAGGGCCTTGTCTCCGCCCCGCCCCTAGCGCACCTCTCTGGCCCCGCCCCTCGCGCCTACGGAACCGCAAGAGAGACATACAATTCCCCTCTTCCCCTTTGCCCTGCGTACTGCTCACGCGAGACTTGGACCGGGCAGTGGGGCGGGAAGAGAATCGGAAACACAACAAACATGACGGCGGCAGCGGCTGCGACGGTGACGAAGACAGCGGCGGCGGCGGCGGCGGCGGCGGCGTTGGCGGCGGCAGCGGCGTTAAACAAGGCAGTGGGAGTTACTCGGTGCGGTGGTCAGGTGGTAAGTAGCAGGCTTCCGGCTCGGACGGCGGCGACACAGCTGAGCAGGACGGTTAAGAAGGAGCGGCTGCAGGGGAGAGCGGGGTTCGCGGCGGGCCGGCTGACCCCACCCAGGAGTCAGTCTCAGCGGAGGCTTGGGCGTGGTCGGTCGGTCGGCAGGGTCACGACCCGGGACGTTCCTGGCCCGAGTGCGGAATGTGTGGTCCTTGGGTTCCGGGAGCCCCGAGGGAACAGCTTCTGTGGGCAGGGGCTGGAGACTCCTGGGTAGGGACCTGCTTCTCGCTCTGACAGGTGGTCGTATGGGGGTCTCCCCGAGGTTTGCGTCTTCACCGGGTCCCACATCCTGGGGCTCAGCGGAGGCGCGGGTCTCCTGGGTGCTCCGAGTTCTGATGAGGATGCTGACCAGACGCCAGTCCTGGGCTGCTCCTTGGGAGGACTTTTAAAACCTCTGTCTGTTACCGAGTGGTCCAGCTTGGGTTAGTTTCTACTGTTTGTGCCCTCTAATTCAGCGGACATGTGAGGTTTGGGGAGGGCTTTGCAGCAAAGACCTATTCAGGTTCATACAGGTTTAAGTCTGTCAGTAAACTGTAGTGCAGGTAGCCAAGCCGTGCACCTATGAAGTGCTCCTCTAACTGAATTTGAATCGAAGTTAAACCGGTTCCAGCTACCACTACCAACCACGTGGCCCATTTAGTGTCCCCTTAATGTGCTGTTCACAGCCCTAATGAGGAGTGACAAGCGGGAGAAGAAATAAAGGCACTTTAAATTGTGAGACCTAAGGAAATTAAGGTTAGAAGAAACAAAACTTACATAAAACAAAATTTTAAACGTCTGGATTAATGGTATTAAAATTCCATTTAATTTTAATTGATGAGGTGCCTTCACAGATACAGTTTATCATTGGGAAATCGTTACAGGGAATTGAAATGTTTGGTATTTTTTTGCCCCTCGGGGTTCAAACTGTTTCCCAGAAAACCCTGTGTTTGAGGTTGTGATAGAGAGCAAAATAAGGATGAGAATCAAATGTTCCTTTGCTGGGGGTGCCTGGAGGTTTTCTTTTTAACCCTTTCCCATGAATGTTTTCCCACAAGGCTAGTGCATTTTTTATGCAACTGTAATTGTTCAGAAGTACTAAGCCTGACCCTTTAAGTGTACAGTACTGTGCACAAATGAAATTAATAACTTAAATTTAAGAAAGACATTAAGAGTTTGCCAAATATGAAATCTTTAGAAATCCACGGAGGCAGTGGGGAGTCATAACAGTGCATGTTTTTCTTTGGTGATTCTTTGGAGCTTTTGTTGACATGAACCTGTTGCTTTGTTCTTTGATTATCTGTTAGATTAGTTTTCTTTTCTGGTAATGGTAAAATTGGCAGAAGTTATTTTCTTATTAAACCTGTAGATGCTAATTAACTTTCTCATAAAGGTTTTGATCTGTGGTGTGCTTTTCTTTGCAGACCTCTGTATGGCTTTTCAATTTTAGTTGAAATTCCCTCCATGGCCTTTTGGAGTCCCTTGGTGTGTCTCCAGAGTAAATTTCGATTACTCTACATTTCATCAATGTTGGAGTGGCAAGAAAAAGGAGGAACTGATTTGGGGTGAAAAGGTTAGAGTGTGTAGCTCCTGTTTTGGATATCTCCTGACTATATGTTTTACTTTTATGTTATGTTTTTTGATTTCTCAAAGCTTCATAATGTTCCTTTTGCATTCAAGGAATTTTTTTTTTTTTTTTTGGACAGTTCTATAATCAGAGGAAATGTGTTCTAATTGTCTTTGAAGGTCTGTGTTAACTCTCTGTACTAATCAGTCCTCATTTGTAAGGCTTCTTCATTGATGTGTATTCTATGGCAGAGTAAATCTTTCAGTGGCTATAATTACTGGGCTATAAAAATAAGCATATCTATTGAACTGTAGTCACTTTATTTATGAAGGCCTACCTAACCGCCAAATTAAACTATTGTATCAGTAAGTTAGTTGCTAAGTATTCTACCTTAGGGTTAGTAACACCCAGATGGTAGGTGAATAAAATAGATCTTTCTATTCTCTAATCATGTTGTTCTCAAAATTCTCCCATAGCTTTTAAAAAAGATAGACTTTGGGAAGAAGGTAGGTTAGAGAGATTCTTCTGGTTCTTATGTCACTGCTCTTTTGTAGTTTTGGCTGTCTTCTAATTCACATCATGATGCCTGTTTTGTTAGTTCTTGGTTGAGAGGGTGTGTGTGTATGTGTGTGTATGTGTGTCAATAACTTCCTATTTATAATGTGAGACTGAAGAACTAATATCGGAAGTCTTCATGCAAATAAATGCTTTATCAGAAACCAAGGAAAGAGAATAGTTTTAAGTGAGTGGTTTAAAGGTGAAGAGGTTTTCATGTTCTTCTGGGATATCGAAGCTTTGCTTCTTTTCTTTTTTTTATTTTTTTTTCGAAGCTTATTTTCTTAAATATTTCTTTCCTTCACTAGTGTGTGTAGCACCTGGTTGTTTTGTAAGAACCTTATTTTTGAGCCTTGAATGAATAATTTGGGAGAAACTGTTGGCATGAAAATAGTTCAGGTACATTCTACCCAGTTTATACACACATGTACCTATATCTCACGGAATCCCATACTAAACCCAGCTCAGAGTAATCACAGGGAGGACTCAAACAGTTTGCCTTATCATAAGGAATGATAATCATACGGTATGGGAATAATTCTTCTCTGGTTGATGTAATTAGATATCAGTTAGTGGAAAGAGTAGATCAGGCTAGGAATACACCACCCAAATCTGTAATAAATATTGGAGAACTCAAATATGTTCCTTTTTCTGAAGACATGATCTTACATATTAAAATTTGTGTAAGTTATCTTTTGGCTCCAAGATGTTGAATTCATGGCTCATGGAAAAGATACCTTCAGTAAAAACATTTTGCTGATGTCCTAAAGTAGATTTTAATGGTATGTTTGCAAAGGTTTTTAAATTCATCCGTGTCTTGGGGGCATTTTTGGATTTCAGTTAATTTGTGGAGTTCTTAGATTAAACTTTCAGTCAGAGACTGATGATTATTTTATTAAAGACAGGAAGATGTCTTGGATATAAAACCTTTATTTTCTTTTGATACTAGGAAGTCTTCTGTAGTTTCATAGTTATTGCTCTTTTCCTGTTTACTGTCGCTTAGAAATAGTGACTTGAGATGAACAAAGCAGGGTTTTGAACCAAAGGCTCCATGTACATTCAGGCAAAGGCCTATCGTTTGCGGGGTGGGGGTGGGGGTGGGGGGATAGTATGGTGTGAGAGAGAGATGTGAAAAAAGTCAAGTAAGCACAAAAAATGCTTAGGAATGGAGGGACACTTAATTTTTAAGTCATTACAGAATGTCTGAGGTTGAAAACCATATCAGTATATTTAAAAACTCTTTAAGAAGAGATTTTTTTTTTTCGTATTTACAATGTAATCGTCATTGGCATTCTTTGTTTTGTTTTTTTTTAAGTCCATCATGCATTATGATTGAAAATCAGCACACAATTTATGGCAGAGAATGCAGTGAAATTTATAATGTGACAATGTGATAATAGCCAAGACTGTCAAAATATGCCAGCCATCCTCTGTAATTAGGCTCATTTGTGTTCTTAAAACTTGATATGCATGTATAAAAATACCATTTTCTTCTGCTTGCTTACTGGCAATCTCATGCATTTTTTCTGCACTGTCACATGTTCTCCTCTAGCACTGTTAGGCTTTCTAATCAGGAATTGGTAGGATTTATCTTGCTTATTGAAGCCTATCAAAGTGGAAACATCTCAAATATCAGAATTTCTTTCTTAATTATAACTTTTATAGTTAGGACACAGACAATCTATAAGGGCCTTACTGGTCCTCATACTTTTTATTTCTTTTTTCCTTTTATTGTGGGGGCCTCTTCCTCTAGTACTATATTGAGTAGCTGTAGAAATAGTAATCATCATGGTCTTATCCTTGATTCTAAAGGGAATGCAACTAAATTTTCTCCATTAATTGGTGTAGGTTTTTGGAAGATATCCTTTATCAGCTTGAGGAAGTTTAAACGTTCCAAATTTGAATAAATGATTACTGTAATTTTCTTGCCCCTAGTGTTGTCTTTGGCACTCAGATGTCAATCTGATTGTTTTTCTTATGTGGGTAGACTGTCTTTTTTTCTCTAGGAAGTTTTATATTCTCTTTGTCCTCTTCAAGGTTTTAAAATTTCAAATGTGTCTAAGTGTTGTTTTAGTATCATATACTATTTTGCACTCTATGATCCTTTTCCATTTGAAAGGGATCTTTAATTTTGGAAATTTCTTGATTGCTATTTTTTTAAAAAAAGATTTCTCTTTGTTTACATTTCTGTGTTTCTGAAACTCATTTTAGAACTCTGTCTGCTACATATCTTACCTTTTTCTTTTTTTTAAGAATTCTCATTTACTGGGACGCCTGGGTGACTCAGTGGGTTAAGCCTCTGTCTTCAGCTCAGGTTGTGATCTCAGGGTCCTGGGATCGAGCCCCGCATAGGGCTCTCTGCTCTGCGGGGAGCATGCTTCCCCCTCTCTCTCTGCCTGCCTTTTTGCCTACTTGTGATCTCTCTCTCTGTCAAATAAATAAATAAAATCTTAAAAAGAAAAAAGAATTCTCATTTACTTTATTTTATTTTTTTTAAAAAGATTTTATTTATTTATTCATCAGGGAGAGAGAGAGAGAGAACAAGCAGGGAGAGTGCCAGGCAGAGGGAGAAGGATGCTCCTTGTGAGCAAGGAGCCCCATGTGGGACTCAGTCCCGAACCCTGGGATCATGACCTGGGCCAAAGGCAGCTGCTTAACCGACTGAGCAACCCAGGCATCCCTATTTCTTACCTTTTAATGTGTATATTTTACATTGTTTCCCACTCTTGTGTGTTTTGTTGTCCTTTCCTTTTCCTTTTATTGAGATACAGTTGTTACCACAGATTATTGTTGATCTCATTCTTCATAATCTGACTGGCTCACTTTTTCTCCCCAACCAGAGGGCAATTTTTTTTTTTTAAAGATTTTATTTATTTATTTGACAGAGAGAGAGAGAGACAGTGAGAGGGGGAATACAAGCAGGGGTGTGTAGGAGAGAGAGGGAGTGGGAGAGGGAGAAGCAGGCTGGATCCCGGGTCCCTGGGATCATGACCTGAGTGGAAGGCAGAGGCTTAACAACTGAGCCACCCAGGTGCCACCAGAGGGCAAATTTTAAAGGACAAATGAATAGAATCAACAGGAGTCATAGAACAAATAGTAATACACTGATTAGGAAGCAGAGAGAACCAGTTCAGATACGCCAGGTAAGATGAGAAAAAGCAACTGAAACAAATTTGTTCAGAAACCAACAGTAATCCTTAAAATTAAGAAAGTTGAGCCAGACCAGAGCAAGTGATTTAAATGGAGAGCCTAAAAGAGTAAAGTAAGGTATGAGTTTGGGTGCCTGCAATTTGGACTCTGTGGGTTACTGAGACAAAGGTAGACCATGTTCATTTCATTGTAACGGAAGAATGGATTTAAAGGAGAGCTTAGCATGCTCAGTTGATGAGGTGATTGATAGAAAAAGGGAAAAATACTGAATCTGGGACAGAGGAATGTTTTGACCCTAGGTATAACCATTTTTTGCTGCAAAAATAGCTGAGAACATGCCGTATGCTACAGGTGTTGGAGGATACTTTACATACAGATACTTGTAAAACTTACAGCAGCACTGCCAGTGTTAATATTATTCTGGTTTACAAAATAAGAAACTATAGCTGAGAGAAGTTTCTTTCAGAGTCTTCAAGCTAGTAAGTTTGGGCTAATACTGTAATACTCTGTTCATCCAACTGAAAACTGAAAAGTGGTAGTGATAATAATAATACCTTTAAAAACCCCCTAGACATCTTCTCAGGAGGGTGGAAAGAACTTTTCACAAATGTTGCATTAAGAACAATGATAATTTTGTCACGTGCACGTTCTTATTTGGATACGTATGTTCAAAATAAAGAACAAGTTAACTGTGAAGAGAGAGGAAGACAAGAAATACAGAAATTAAGTAAATCAGTCCGGGGCCAGTAAACAAGGGAAACCAAAAACAGCCCTGTGTCCTTCATTAGTTCCTGAAATATGTCACTGCACTGTTGTACAGTACTGCTCTCTCTATGAGGAACAGCACTCACCATATCACAGTCAGGGGTTAGTCTGTATCTAGTAGAATGCCAGTTAAGTTAGTTAAAAACAGAAGTTTGGGTCTTAAAACATTCAGTCAAGCTACGGTCAGTTGGGAAACGTGCTGTCACTGAAGCCCTCTCATTTCTCAACTCCACAGTTCTTTCTTTGGAAAACAGGCTGAAAAGTACTCTGAGTGGTCCAGACATTCCCAAACAAGAAAAGCTTAACTGGTGGACTTAAATGACTGAGATATTAAGATTTTTATTATTAGGACTGGGTGGTATTGGTGTGAAGACAGACAAAAATAGACCAGTGAAACAGAGTAGAGCATCCAGAAATAGGGTCACATAATACAATCACCTGATTTAGAAGGGTGGTAACAGAGTCTAGTGGGGAAAGGCTGGTCTATGAAATGCATGTTGCTGGACAGTTGGCTCTCTCTTTGGAAAAAAGTATATTTCAACTCTTACCTCACAGTATACATACACAAAGCTCAATTCCAGATAAAAATATGAAAAGTAAAAAAAAAAAAAATAGTAAAGCTTTTAGGAGAAATTGCAGAACATCTTCAGGGGAAGATGTTGGCAAGGATACAACTCTAAATGTAAAGGAAAGAAATGGGTAAATTGGACTATGTTAACAACTTCCAGAGTGAGAGAAGCCGCTGAAAATATACGTCTCCAATAAAGAGCTCATATCCAGAATATTATATAGAACTCTTACATATTAACTAGAAAAAGAAAACCTAATAAAAAAATGAACAAAAGACTTGAACAGATATTTCATTGGGTACGAAAATAGCAGGTATCTGTGTGGCTAATTTACATAAAAAGTATACCGTTTCATTAGTTATCAAGGACTAGAAATGAAAACCAATGTGATACCACCACGAGCTCACTGGAATGGCTGAAATGAAAAAGGCAAAAAATACCTGCATATTGGGGAGGATATGGAAGAACAGAGTTCCTCTTCAGTGCTGGTGGGAGTGTAAATTGGCATAAGCACTTTGAAAAGCCATTTTGCATTGTCCAAAGCTGAATATATGCAAGCCCTGTGACACAGTGGTTTCAGAAGTCAGGGTAGCCGAGTCCTTGCCGTGCTCTGGGGCACCAGTACTGGAAGGGTTCACCCTGGGACGCTTGTGGCCTTCTGGATATGTTTGTTCACTTCATGGATATGTTCACTTTGTGATGACTTGTTGAGCTTTATGTGCTCTTCTGTGTGTATGCTGTGCTTTGAGAAAAAGTTAAGCATATATGTTGAGAAGTAACTATTCTTAGCTTAAATTCCATTTTACTGGCTTTTAAAGATAAGGACTTTTTAAGGTAGAAATTATTTATTAAATAGTTGGAGTTTAGGGGAAAAAATGAGCAGAAGACATACTTAAGAAGATCTTACACATTTGCATAAAAATTTTTATTGGGAGAAAAGAGCTTTGTCTCCTAGGTGTTAGATTTTCTTATCTTGTTCTTACTAGGAAACTTTTTGGTTATTTGATTTCTGAATTTGGGCCATAAACTTAGGTGAAGTCCAGTTTAGTTTGTGGTTACAAAATCTCATGGGAGATTTCCCTCTACATGAGGATCAGATATTTGTTTTTTTTTGTTTTTTGTTTTTTGTTTTTTTGCAATAATCATAGGGGTGCATATAAAGTTTAGAATTTGTGTTTTTTTTTTTAAATTTTCTTTTTAAAATTATTTGTTTTTTATTATGTTCAGTTAGCCAGCATATAGCATAGCATGTTTTTAATGTAGTGTTCAGCGATTTATTTTTTGTTTTCTTTCTTAATTTTTCCCCTCATTCTCAGAGTGAATAAGATGATACATGGTGGTAGAGACGGTGATTTGGATTTCTAAGGCAGAGGTCAGGAAACTATGGCCTATAGCCTTATCCTGGCTCAAGACTTGCTTCTATAAAGCTTTATTTTGGAACATAGCCATACTCAATTTGTTCACACGTGATTTGTGGCTGCATTTAGCTATAATGGCAGAGTTGAGTAGTTGCGACTGAGACCTCATAATGGGCGAAACCTAATATACTACTCTCTGACCTTTTTTACAGAAAAGGGTTGCCAGCCCCTGTTCTAGTGCACCTATTTCTAGAGCATTCATGAGAACCCTATGATTTGAGAGTCTTTGCTGTCTGAAATGATAGTCACTAGCCATATGTAGCTATTTCCATTTAAATTAATTAAAGAAAATAAAAAACTCACATTGTTTGTATTAGCCACATTTGCAGTGCTTATTGCTATGTGTGGCATGCAGAACTCTATTGGACAATGGAGATATGTAACATGTCCATCTAGAAAATTCTCTGGCCTCAATCGAGCTACCTTTTTTTTTTTTTTGTCTCCTTCATTGATAATCCCTGCTGCTGTGCCTCTTTCTTTCATGTGGACTTATTTTCTCTTTTTTGCAGTCTTTGTAACTTTTTTCCATCCACTAAGACTGAATTTGGTCCTAGTTTATTTAAATACTAAATACAGTAAATTTTCACAATTTTCTCTATGTGTTCTCTAGTTCACCAAGAAAATAAGATATTTAATGGCAGGTACTGTATTCTGTATTGTTTTGTATATCTTGCACATACTAATTTTTGTCATTGTTGTTTTGATACATACTGGCTCTCCCTAAATAGTGTGAAATTATTTCAGTTTTTTTCCCCTAGGCATAACAAATTGTAAACTTTGAAAGAAAAAAGAAGAAAAGGATAAAGCAAAGATGGGTGAAAAGAAACCAGAGCCTTTGGACTTCGTGAAAGATTTCCAGGAATATCTGACTCAGCAGACTCATCATGTGAACATGATTTCTGGCTCAGTTAGTGGGGACAAAGAAGCAGAGGCTCTTCAGGGAGGTAGACTCATCTTAATACTATTAAATAATTCATTTTTCATAAATATATTAATACTCATATGTAGTTATCCAAATGGTGAAGACCACTGTTCACTAATGTGTGTCATTCCATTTTTACTTAGACACAGGGCAATTTGTTTTCTTTTTTAAACATGTCAGATTTTTGTTGAGGGAGAATGAAACTTCCCCCGGGGCCTAACACGGTCTAGAGAGGCATTACGGTCTTGTTGGAAGGTTAGGAATTCTAAATACCCGCCCCATCTTCTAAGTTCTGTGAGCTAACAGTAGACACAAGGAACCCAAACGGGCTGCAGCATTAGCTTCCCTACACAAAGGATTTGGCCAGTGGGAAATCTGGATTCAATCAGAGACACAATAGGGGTTCCTTTTTCTTCTCTCTTTAAATGAAGAAAGGGCTGACCATGTTTACTTCTCTAGACAGAGAATCCGCACAGAGAAGGCGATGACACACTTGAGCCTGCTCCAGATAGACTTTAGTCTGGTTTGCTTACCACATGGTTTGGAATCTGTTCCTGAACGTAGCTCAGGGGTCAACAAACTACAGCCCGTGGGCCCCAGCTGGACTGTGAATTGATTCTGTATGACCTGCAGACTAAGAGTGATTTCTACATTTTAAAATGGTTGGGGAAAAAAAAATCAAAAGAATACTATAATATATGCAAATTGTACGAAATTCAGACTTCAGCATCCCTAAAGTTTTATTGAACCAGCAGCACACTTGCTTGTTTGCATATTTTCTAGAGCTGTTTTTGTGCTAGAACAGCGGAGCTGAGTAGATCTCGTAGAGAACAGATGCCCCCACAAAGCCTAAGTTATTTAGTATCTTATCCTCATGGGAAGAGTTTGCTGCCCCCTGACGTAGATGGTCTGTGGCCTTGTTGTCCAGGGACTAGCAGCAGAGACTAGGCATCACCTGGGAGCTCGTTAGAAGTATAAATTGTCAGACCCCATTGCAGATCTGCTGAATCAGAATCTGTTTTAGTAAGCTCCCCACATGATTAATATACACATTGAATTTCGAGAGGCACTGGGTTGGGAGAGAAATCGAAGATGGGGACACAGCCTTGTTCCTTCAGTGCAGTGGCTCCCTTGGATATTGGATTTGCACCAACCAGCAAAATCACTTCTCTTCTCCTAGTGAGGGGTGGGGGCGGGCAGTGGAAGAGGGGGCTTGACTTGTTCATACCAGTACTGCTGTTTCCTGTGGATGGAGTAGAAGTGTTTCCCCCAAGAAGTTGTAGGAATAAAAATGCCCCTCCTGACACTAGTGTACAGGTTCCTCGGCTGGGATTCAACAGACCAGGGTTGTATTCCCCACTGCTTGCTGGATTTCTGGATACAAGCACTTTGCCCCTTCAGTTTCTTTATAGATACAAAAAAGTAGTTGGGTTAAATTAAAAGTAAAAGATGAATATCTTGTAGCTTTCAAATTCTTACAGTTCTAACATTCAAGGTTATCAGATACAGTATCTTCCTTTATGTGCCTAGTTAAAATTTTAAGATCCTAAATGCATCCCAGTATCTAGAACATGTATAAACCAAATGAAACAGGGCAAAACTCAACATTAATTGCTTTAGACAGTAGTATACAGAGTTAGGATTTGGGGAGATCACCGTGACTGCCGGTTCTAATCCTGGTAGAGCGGGCCGGCGTCTTAAACACGTATAGCTTTGCCGTTCCTGTTTACTCCCTCGGTCCTCCAGACCCGTCAGATAAGGCAAATACCCTATTTTTTTCTTCAACAGCATGCTGAAGACTGATAAAATTGATGTATAAGTAATTTGAGGTCCCCTGTAAAAGGTTCTCAACAGAATATACTACTGCTTTTGTATGAAATTGACCTCTTGTTTGGAAAGTCTCTATTTTCTGAGTTTGGCTTTTGTGCTAAATAAACTATCAATTTATGAAAGATTTTCTACCACTCAAGACTAAAATGCTAAAATGAGTTCATTCTGAGATGCATAATTTCTTTTGCTACACTTTGTTTATAGCTGGAACAGATGGTGATCAGAATGGACTCGATCACCCATCTGTTGAAGTTTCCCTGGATGAAAACTCAGGAATGTTAGTAGACGGGTTTGAAAGGACCTTTGATGGAAAGCTCAAGTGTCGGTACTGCAACTATGCCAGCAAAGGAACAGCCCGGCTTATCGAACATATTAGAATCCATACAGGTAATGGCAAAGTGTCTGGAGAAAGCATTTCTTTGGGGGCAGGAGAGAGGCCAAGGGAGGCAAGTTGGTTTGACATATAAGTAGTTCTGATAGTTTAAAACTGAAGATTGATTTAAGGTATGAATAAATGAGGAAGTTACTCCATATTTTCCAAACAATGGCATAACAACATAGAAATGGGAAGTAAGGCCCCATCTAGAGCTTCCCCTTCCTTAGCAGTCTTTCTTCTTGATGCACATTATCTCTCAACATCTGTCTGCTTTTTAGGCTGGGCAGGTTATTGCTGAAGATAGTGTGAAGTGATAAAATGTTTTTATCTTTATGCTTACTAAGTATGTTTCAGTTGCCGACCAGGGACAAGGCTTTTATACAGTTGCAGACTACACTGCTAATCCTCAGGGCTCCTTTGCCCTCCCACCTTCTGAGAAGCCCTCCTTACTGCCCTACCCCGGCGCAAGACCTGGGCGGGTGTCTCACCCTTGTGCCACATGGGGTCTTGTGCTGTGTCTGAGGACAAGGCTCATGCCAGGGCCATGTTTGTGCCCACAGAGCCTAACAGAGCATAGTAAGGACTCAGTACTTATTTGTTCCATTAATGACCAAATCCCCTATTCCAGATATTTATTTTATATATTTGCGCCATTTTCAGCTAACGGCACTGACCCACAGTTGTCCCTTTTGGCAACTGAAGAGAAGAGGAAGATAGAGGTGAAGCACTGGGCCATTTTGAAGGGACACTTAGCATAATTCATACTTGGACTGGGGAGCTTATTTCCATTTTGAGCTTTCTGTTTACTAGAAGGACTTTTTAGAAAAGGTTTTTTGTATTTTTTCCAGAGGAAGGGGTATTGGTGTGTGGATATGTATGAAGAAGTGTTCACGTATAGATGTGTCCATAAACATGTAACTGACACGTACTTTGATAAAGTCATTATTACGGAGGGAATATTACTGTCAGTTTTGCTCTCCTTTCCCCAGATGCCAGTTGAAACCATAACAGTTTTTACACTGTATTGACTAATGGAACACACCTATAGATCTCAAATTGTTGCTGATAAGTTAAGCTTTAAGTTGACAGATTTCTCCTAATCAATGGGCAGCACACGAAGCTTTCCATAAATGAGCTACTCTTGCAGTTTCTCCCCATTTTTCTTTTTAAACAGGTGAGAAACCTCATAGATGTCACTTATGTCCATTCGCATCTGCTTATGAGCGTCATCTGGAAGCCCACATGCGTTCCCATACAGGAGAAAAACCATACAAATGTGAATTATGTTCCTTCCGCTGCAGTGATCGAAGTAACCTGTCCCATCATCGAAGGCGCAAGCATAAAATGGTACCAATTAAAGGTACTAGGTCTTCCTTAAGCAGCAAGAAAATGTGGGGAGTTTTACAGAAGAAAACAAGCAATCTGGGCTATAGCAGAAGAGCATTAATCAACTTAAGTCCACCTTCCATGGTGGTTCAGAAGCCAGACTACCTTAACGATTTTACCCATGAAATCCCAAATATCCAGACTGACTCCTATGAAAGTATGGCAAAAACCACATCAGCTGGTGGCCTACCAAGGGACCCCCAAGAACTCATGGTTGACAACCCTTTAAATCAGCTCTCAACTCTGGCAGGACAGTTGTCTAGTTTGCCACCGGAAAACCAAAACCCTGCATCTCCTGATGTAGTTCCCTGTCCCGATGAGAAGCCTTTCATGATGCAGCAGCCCTCCGCCCAAGCAGTGGTTGCTGCCGTGTCAGCAAGTATCCCTCAGAGCTCCTCTCCCACAAGCCCTGAACCTCGGCCGTCACATAGTCAGAGGAACTACAGTCCAGTGGCGGGTCCGAGCAGTGAACCAAGTGCCCACACGAGTACTCCCAGCATAGGAAACAGCCAGCCGAGCACTCCAGCTCCGACCCTGCCGGTCCAGGACCCGCAGCTTCTGCACCACTGCCAGCACTGTGATATGTACTTTGCCGACAATATCCTTTACACTATTCATATGGGATGTCATGGGTATGAAAATCCTTTTCAGTGTAACATATGTGGTTGCAAATGTAAAAACAAGTATGATTTTGCCTGTCATTTTGCAAGGGGACAGCATAACCAACACTAATTGAAACTAATCACATTATGCTTTACTTGGTTTTACCATTTTGTGTTTTATAGTTTTGTTTATTTTTTTTTCGGGGGGGGGTCATTCTAATAAGGTGTCTGCTAATTTAAAGTCTATATATTTATAGAAAAGTTTGACAGTGGAAACAAATTTTTTTTTTTCTATAAATATCTGGTCAGGCTCATTTATGTATTAGAGCAGTGAGACACGCCGGAGTCTGTTTTCTTCCTTTCACTTAGATGGTTGAGAACTGGAGTGCAGTCCTAACCCTAGCAGGTATCATTTAAATTCCCCATGCTCGTGGTCCGTAAACACTTCAGAGCTTACTGATACTTGGTATTCAACATACACATCACAGCTAGATATTATTTCTGCCATATTTCAACATGGTCGAATTACCATCTCTTACAAAGTCTGTTGTAAACAGTTGATTTCAGTGTTTGGTAGAGGAATTGCCCTTAACCTCGTTCTCTGTCAACGTGCTGTTTTGTTCACATTGCGGAATGTTCGCAGTACATTCCTTTCACCTGATGATCACAGAGCTATTTAGGGTAGCAGATCCTTTTTTTTTTTTTTTCCCCCTTAAGGGGAAATGTAAAACAGGTCATTCTTTTTAAATTCAAGTTACAAAAATATGAGGTAAAAGTTCTGAAGAGAAACAAAACCTAAATGGAATGGGTTTAATACTTAAAATACCTGTTTATTTAATTTCTAATTTAAATATGTGTCAAGTTTTCCATTGGATTCTTTTTATTCTGATTTCTTGTAAAAACCACATGAGAATGCTAGAAACATCAGAGGATTATCTTTAAAGATGCCTTTTTGTTTTTTCCTTTTAATTTGAACCTTTAAGTTCTTCACTCTGACGTCATTAGCGTCAGGTGACTTTGATAAGTACACTGAGAATCTCTTATTCCTCCTATTCCTTTGATGACCAAAGAGGTACAGTAGGAGTCATGCATCTTATTCCTTGGAAATGCAGTCCTTCAAAAGAAAAAAAAATCTCTGAAGTTTCCATTTCCTGCCTTCTGTCCACTTACTGCCTATAATTTCCAAGAAGAGGTGGGTATAGAAATACATGGGCAAATAGGATGGCGAAGTAATACTTAAAAAAATGAAAACGTGTCCAAAACAAATTCCGGTTTTCCCTTCAGAATTGGCCATTTAAAATATTTTCTGTGAATTCAGCTTGTAATGCTTATTTGCAGTTCTGCCCATTTTTCATGGACAGAGACAAAACTATATGGAGACTGAGTCATCGCCTTAGTAGGAAAGGGTACAGAAGTGGGAAAATAGATATAAAATGCATTTAAATGTGATATTTGTTTACAAAAATAAGACTTGCTAAATCTAGAATAATTTTGAATAGGAGGCTATTGTTTTTATATTGTGTAATAACTAGCTTACTCTGAAGAGAGCTTGGTCAAACAATAAAGTATATTGTTACTAACTGTGGTTTCTGTGTACTTTGCAAAAGTTTCATTTTTAATTTGGTTCAAATCTTGAAAGTGTTGCTGATTGGCTTCTTAAAGAGAATACCCCAACTATGAAGCATTTATTAAGCAAACAGGACCTCCACTCTTCTATAGTAAAGAAGAAGGGAAGTGTTGATGGTAGGCAGAAGAAGGTCCACCAGAACCCCCACGGGCCAAGTTAATGGATCTTCTGCCCTCCCTTCCAAATGCTAGAAAGTCATTAAAATGAGTTCTCATGGTTTAACATCCAGTCGAAACTAACCTCAACAGCATTGTTCAAAGAGCAGCGAGGAGTCAGTCCAAACTCTAACTCTTTCGACCTTGCCTGAGGCTTCTGAATCTACAGTTGAGTTTCTCTTGTTGCTTAAATCACTCATTGCTTAGATCAGCTTGAATGCAACCATTTCCAAATGTGGAACTTGGCTCTAGTATTTATTTATTGCCAGAAAGAAACAGGTTGCTGTCATTTGGAAGATTCTGTAATTATTTTCTTCCTTCTCACTTATTTTTCACATAAAAGCAATACCCCAAGATAGAAAAATGAAGGCTTTCATTAAAAGAGAAAGAACCCTCTTGTTAAAACCAGTTTATTAACTTTATATTCTGGGCCAAATAGTGACAAACACTTCTTTTCTGGCAACTAAAGATAGATATTTTGAAGGTACATTTTAAACAGAAAATATCTTTTTTTCATAATTACAAACTAGAATGTATAATTCTAATTTTCTTATGACTTAAAAAGAGCACAGTTGGTATTCCAAAGGTGTCAATGCTTGAGAGCTACAATAAATTCTAAATGCACTAAAGTTTTTGAATCAAATCTACCTTATAAACTTTTTTAGTATTGTATTTTTAAAAAGATTTAGGATTTTATTTAAATTTTCTGTGAGTTAAAATTTTATACATGGAAAGATGATACTATCTTCCATTAAGTGTTGAATACGTTTCTCCCATTTTATTTTTAATCAGATATTTTATAGAAATGAGCTGCTAGGAAAAGCTGAACGTGAACTATTTATAGTACTTTGCTGTTAACAGGCAATGTTCTGAAACTAAATGTATTTTTGTTCAGTGAACATAAGTTTAGATTTTTAAAGTTGGTAGATAATTTATCTCCACTAATATTTTTTTAAAGAAACTGTGAAGAGATTAACAGGGAATAATTTCATTTCAGATTTTACTAATATAGTATGTAGCTACAACTTCTTGAAATTCAAGTAAAGGCTAGACTTTTGCTTTGAATATTTTCCAGTGCTATTTCATTTTAGAAATAAGTGTTTGCCATTCATCTGCAGAATCGTTTGACAAAGGGAATATTACTTTAAAAATGTTGAGCTAAACCTCATTTTAAGTTCTACAAAAATATTTATCAAGTGGATGTATTATTAAAAAAAAAAATCCCTGCTAAGGACTTTTTCCTTAAATAGTCTTAGAGGGTATATGATTTCTAGAACTTGTTTTTGTTAATATGTACTTTGATGTAAAGAACATATTTTGTATGCAAAACATAAAACTTGAGTATGGTTGCAAAACACTATATTGTTTAGGGATTCCAGAGAGCAGTTCAATGCTGAAATAACTATCCAGACTGTAGTTCCTATTGTGAATGAAGCTTTGCTTTTGTAATACATGAATAAAAAAAAAAAATAACACTTTTCTATTGATCTTGATTTTTCTTCTTTGAAAACTAGGATCCAATTTTTTTAGTAATTTTCCAGTATGTAAACTGTTAATAAATTAAAAAAAAAAAAAAGAAAAAGGTTTTATGGCTACATTGGTTTGAATCTGTAGAATGCCTTACCCATGAGATGATCGGTCACATGAATTAAAGACAAAAACAGCTCCATGTACCCACATCTCGTCTCCTTCCTAGTCTCTCTGCTTTCCTGAGGATCCATTCAGCAAGACCCCTATTCCCACCAGCCCCACCCTAAGGTTTCTGGCACAGAAACAAGGAAGCCTGCCTGCTTCTGATGCCTAATTACCCATGTCACATCTGACAAATGACTGACTGAAGTTATTTCTCTTATGACAAATGGGTGTTTAGAATGGACTGTTGCTTTTTTTTTTTTTTTTTTTTTTTTTTTTTTAAAGTAAGTCTTTGGCATTTCCCATCACTGGGTAAGAAGACATCCAGGAACACAAAATTGTTTTAGTTTGTAAAATCTTAACCAAAATCAGACATTTGATTGGAAGTTCAGAAGTTTTAATGCGGCTTTGAAAAATATTTCTGGACAATGTTGTCTTTCTCATAATGAAAAAAAGAAATAACATCTGATATATGGATGGTTTGCTGAGAACACAGGTATTTTTTGTTTCCATGTCTTAGGTCCTCCAAAAACTCTGCTTTGAGCCTGTTGAGTTCCTCTGCTAGGAGCTTCAAGTTGAAAGGAAGCACTTGTTCATCTAAAATGAAAAGATACTCTCACAATTATTTGTGTAAACTAATCAGGTTGGGCTGTCTAGTAACATCAGGAAATGAATTTGAATACTTCGGACAAACCAATCAGATTATTCTGTTAATAACCGCAGTCCCAGTAGGTGTCCCATAGAAACAAAGGTCACATTCGTGTGACAGCAAACAGATCTTTTCAGTGCCTGGCCACGAAATGCAAGAGCAGAAAAGATAAACCTGAAAAGGATTTTCCTTGTTGTTGACAAGATAGTGATTTAGAGTCTTTGTGAACTAAGAGGCAGTAAGGCCAAAAAGCAGAACGAGGCAATGACATTTCGGTTTGAAGCTGATAAATTCTCTCTAGCAGTGCCGTGTGACCTATAACCTCCTACGATGATGAAGATGTTCTGTCCTACCCCACCCAGCAGCCACCAGCCACGTGGGTAATGTGACTAAAATAAGACTGTCGTGTTATTAAACAGCTTTGCTGAAATAAAACTGGCAAACCATACACTTCACTGATTTAAACTACGATCTGGCTACCTGCAGGCACCTGCGATTCTCCCCACGGTCCATTCGAGAACGGCTCATCCTCTCAGAAACCTGCGTCCCTTACTCCCACCTGCCTACCCCAGCCTCGGCCCCACCCCGAATCCCTAAGCCACCACTGATGGGCTCGTGGGGCTCCCGATGTCCCGCTTCTGGGCGCCTCATAGGCCGGGACTCAAGCAGCGTGGCTTTGGGTGGTGGCTTCTTCCACTTTGCATACTGTTTTCAGGGTTCATCCTGGCCACCAGGAATAATGCTGACACAAACATTTGTGTACACATTCTGGTACGAACATATGTTGGCAATTCTCTTGAGCAGACACCTAGGAGTGGGTGGGCTGGGCGCCCCCAGTAACGCCATTGAACCATTTGAGGAGCTGCTTGGCTGTATGCCAAAGCAGCTGCACCACTTCACATCCCCACCAGCCGGGCGGGTTTGCGCTCCTCCACGTCCAGCCCACGCAGGCCCTTCCGGACTCCCTCCCGCCCAGCGGGTGTGCTCGGGAGTCCTCCCTGCGGACTACTGATAATTGTGTTTTCTTTATGGTTTGGCCATCTTTGTATCTACCCTGGGGAAATGTCTATCAGACCCTCTGCCCATTTTTAAAATGTGATTGTCTATAACGCTGAGTGGGTGGTACCGGTCCTTCACCTATTTTGGATACAAGTCTCTTCTGAGATAAAGGATCCGCAAATACTTTCTCCTGATATGTGGGCTGTCTTTTCATGTTCTCTGGATGGTAGGAGAACTGAATTTTTAATTTCATTTAGGTATGGATCCAGGAGCTAGAAGCACCTCCCTCACATAAATAAACAGACAAATAGAAGTGTCATTTTAACGGGTGAAAAATGAGTCAAGAGTGATTTGGGCATAATCCTATTCCCCCTTCTTCTCTTCATTTTATATAGAAAGCAATAAAGGCAAATGGCTGAGAGAGAACTCCTACAACTATCTTCGTCTCTATTCTAATTATGCTGCTGCTTCTGTTCCAGGCCTCTGGTTTCCAAACTCCAGACTGTAACCTACAAGTGAGATGCAGGTTGCAGGCAGCCGTTTTCTAAAATAAAGTCAAATAGAATGTCGTAGAGCTCGCTCCACACGTGAGGGCTTTGTGAAATTTGTCGCTATGCACGCACATGTTCTTGTACCGGACTACACACCAGGATACAAGAGAAAATGCGCTTATGGATTGTGGTAAAAAAAAAAAAAAAAGTATGAAAAATACCGTATGGTTAGTGTACTGTTTGCTTTTCCAACTTTCTAAGCTTTTGTAAAGGTATTAATAATCAAAGCTGGTGATGCAGGGAGCCTAACAGAAAGCACACACGGGAGGAAGACTTGACTCTGAACCCGGGCTGTCCAAGTGCCTTATAGCTGTTCAGCCTTGGGCAAGTTACTTGACCCTCCCAGAACCTTCATGTCCTATCTGTAAAATTACACTCACCTCATGGGGACACTTAGCATATAAAAACTCAAGAAATGTTAAGCTAACATTAGTTTTTAAATCAAAATTTAAATATAGCAAGGAGTTTGATATTTAAATATTTAAAACCTGAAGGAGTTAATGTTCTAGAACTAGCACATACTCCATTCAAGTTCAGACTGAGGACACACTGAGCTTGCCCATCTGCCAGGTGGCCCCTGAGCACCTCTCCCCATTCCTTCCTCCACCCAACTCAACAGCCCCGTTTTCTGCTCTAGAACATACCAGACAACTTCACCTCTGGGCTTCTGCATTTGTGGCCACTGCCTAGAGCGATCTGCCACCAGATGACTGCGTGTTCGCTCCTTCTGTTGATTCGTAGCTCCGCTAAAATGTCATCGCTGAGAAGCCTTCCAGACTATCCTTAGAGAGAAGCTCTCCCATCACTCTGCATCACCCTTCCCTACTTTATGTTTCTCCAGCGCCTCAGCCGATACTCACTATCTGTCGTCTGTCTGCTCAGTATAACGCTCTGCTCCCTACTGATGCCCCGGCATCTAGAATAAAGCCTAGTGCCGAGGAGCCACTCAATAAAAATGTGCTGGACGGACGAAGACCCTGTTCCAGGGGTCGGATATTTAGTTTTTACATAACCAAGTTGCATACTGAAACCGGAACATGATGTGAACGTTAGGACTGAGAGCTAATAAGCCACCCGCTGTGTCAAGGGGACAGGAACAGCAGCAGCGTCGGACCAACCAAACCCCAGAAAACCACCCAGCATACCTTTTGCCTCTTTCATCGTCTGAGAGACAATCCTTCTGAGCGTCTGGTCGGCCTGATGCAGAACATTAGTTGAACAAATGATTCTGTCTGTTTCCTATGGAACACAGACATTGTTATGGGAAGTTTTGTAAGAGAGATGGCTAAAGTAGGACGTGTATTCGATGGGACGAAAAGATAAGTGAAGGTGGCTTTTCAGTTCCCATTCTCCTTCCCTAGAAGATGGGCCCATCTAGACCGCGGGTGCTGGTGAATGTCTAGTCACAGGCTCTCCAGCAACAACAGCAACACACCCCGTTTCCAGTGTTTGTCCGTGTCCCCAGTGCACGTATTTCTGTCCTTGCCCATTTCAAGTCACCAACACCAGCGTGATGGCGACAGGCTCTGATATTCCTGAGAGTTGGACAAATGGCTCTGGCCAGCTGATGCCCCACCACAGCCTGGAGCAGAAGCGGGAGCACCGTGGAGACGCCAAGGCAGTGGCCACGCATTTTCCATATTTTACCCACTCAGCTCAAAAAGACCCTCCTTCCGAAAGTGGTGCCTTCCCATTTATGCTAAATGTATCCAGAAGATTTACCTTTTGTTCCACATTGTCCTCAATATATTTTACTGGATTCTCCAAAGCAGTAAGCAATAAATCAGTCAACTTCAGGCTGCAAGAAAGAGAAGGGGAGATAAAATAAATCCCTATATCAAACATCCTTTAAAAAAAAAAACCAAAAACTTGTGTTTATGAACACTAAAGTGAAGTCTAGAGGAATAAAAGTGGTGTAACCCAAAGGCCCTAAGCCAAAGGGGGGAAAATGAAACAATTTGGAAGCTACCTTCTACTTTCAAAGTCTAAAAGTAGAAGCTTAAAACAAATTATAAGGCAAAAGAATCCTCTTATTTTAAAAAAATATTAATTTCTTAAGACTCATTTCAATAAGCTTTG